CTACTATACTACACACACACACACACACACACACACACACACACACACACACACACACACACACACACACACACACACACACACATATATATATATATATATATTTATATCTATCTATCTGCTCTACTCATGTATAGTGCTTTCCTATTTGTTTCACTCTCAGAGGCCTGTGATATAACCGCATACCGTCTGAACAATGATAAACTACTCGCGTGGCTGGCGAAAAAGGTAAGCACTACTAACAAGCTCTCAACCTTTACACTTCCGTCGCCTCTTGGATTCATGTGTACTAAGATTGTACTGGGGTATTTGGGCTAGAAAGCTACCAACAGCACCCCAAGTTGGCACGCCTGTAAGAATTCATCTGGTGCGGATGAGATGGCGTGCGACGCTTGTATATTTCACTGGGAATTCAGCGATACCATATTTAGGTCGTACGCATATCATTGTAGCTCAGAGACTATAACTCGTGAAATTACTTGTTGAAGCTTTGTTAAACCCTAAAACCCCACCGCAACTGAAATTACGAAGTACCTTGCCACTGTACAACATGTGTGATACTTCAGCGCTCGCCTTATCGCACAACTACTGCACTCGGACACATCTTTTTACCAGAAGGCTCTGGGCATACATTTGTATGTATAAAAAATATTTATATTATGTTTGTATGTGTTTAAAGTGGGTACACAACGATACTGTAGCTAGACGCATATCGTAGTATATATTTCTATGTCAAAAATGCTATGAGTATGGTGTATGTATATTATCTAGGTATATTTTTTAGCGAAAATACACAATGACACTGTAATTTGACAAGTGTTTAATTTTCTTTGAGGCAGATAAATAGACTTGTTGAAGTCTTGGCCCAAACACAAACGAATGTCGGAAACGCCGCCCAATCAGATCTGCTTGTGCTCCACTCAGAGGGGGTCATTACGCCAGTGACAGGTATGTTAGATGGATTCATCCCAGGTACTATATATATGCATACATCCATATCCACACACACACACGCACACACACACACACACACATACACACACACACAC